CCGTTCACTGCTTGCCCGTGCACTTGCCCGGACAAGATTGGATCTCCTTCACTGAAGGCAACGAAGAGAGCGCCTTGCAGAGCACCGTTTCCGCTTTGATGCGGTACTTTTACCGCCCGGGCGACCCCCTCTTCAACGATCTCTTATACGCGGAGTACTTCGAGCGCTTCCAGCACTCCCAGAATTGCCCGGCGACATTGCGGGGCCAGCTCGACACGTAGAACCCGACCTGCATCTGGCGCGACACGGCGCCCGACAGCCAGCAGCATTTTGTCTACAACCGCTTGCGTGGAGAACCCCCGCTACGCCGTCTGGAGATGAAGTTCCCCCAGCAGAAAGAAGCGTTCTACCTTAGGCGTATGCTCCTGCATCACCCCAAACGTTCATTTGACGACTGCCGCACGCATCTGGGCCGCAAGTACCCTACGTTTGAGCAGGCTATGTTGGCTACTGGCCGTTTCTCCAATAACACGGAAGCCCACGACACCATCCAGGAGCTCATCCAGTTGCGTTGCACCGGGACCCAGTTGCGGTTCGTTTTCGTCCTGCTGCTGGATCAAGATTCCGCGCCTCGGACTCTCTTCGCTCGTTTCAACAAAGGTATGCAAAAATATCACCTCGATCGAGGGATGTCGGCGATTTCTGCTCGCATTGCTCTGGCCACGTCGTTGCTGCATTTATGGCAACAAGCAGGCCGCGACCGCAGCGCGTTCCCTCTGCCAGAAATTCTGCCAGACGACGTCCCTACCAACCCGGCCCCTCAGCTTTCAGACGCTGAAGTCCGCCGCCTCACCATGCTCGTTCGCGGTCCCTCCGACGCACGACGCCTTGCGAAAGAGATCCAGTCGCAGTTCTGTTCCACTTCCGACGTCTTCTACTTCGTCCACGGGCGCGCCGGCACGGGCAAGTCCACGCTAGCCAATTTCCTCACGCACTGGGCAGAACCTGCTGGGCACCCCGTCATCAACGTGGCAACCGCGGGCCAAGCGGCCCTGCAATTGGTTCGCGGGGTGACTGCTCACTCTACATTTGGTATTCGTACCGCCGACGAGGGCGTCCTCACATCCACGGTGACCCCCACAACCGCCAAAGCAAGGACCTTGGCAGCCGCCAGATTGATTCAATGGGATGAGTGGCCGATGGCTAAGAAGAACGCCTGGGATAGCGTCGTAGCGTTGATGGCCCACTTGCGGTCGGCGCTGCCTCGCGATTGCAATCCGAAGGTGTTCGTGTGCTACGGTGACTTCCGACAAATCCCAGCCGTCGTCAAGTACGGCACTCGCGCGGAGATCGTACAAAGCTGCGTGAGAATGTCTGCCTCTTGGAGCCGCTTCCGCGTGCGGCATCTGTTCAAAGCCCACCGGGCTGCGCAGGACGCGGACTTCACGAAATGGTTGGAATCCATCGGCAACGGCACGTGCCCCACGCCTCACACGTGGAACGGGGTCTAGGGCCATGTACCTTTGGAGCGCATTGCGCAAGTTCAATCCGAACTCCACGCCATTGATTTTACATTCCCTGTTCTGAACGACCCTCACCGATGCGTTCGAGCAAAAATTGCGGCGACGACGAACGAGGAAGTTGACCACTTCAACAACCTCGTCCTCAATAGGCTGGTAATGGAGCATGGCCCCACGGAAATTGTCCAGTAAAGCGCCGACACCGTCGAAGTCGACGCAAATTCCGTCCTGGACGACACCATGACCCCCGAATTCCTGAACGCCCAGACGTACCTCGGGGTTCCTCCTCATCGCCTTCGCTTGGTCGTGGGCGCACTGTGCGAGTTGATGCGGAATCTCAACAATAAGGACCGTGTACGCTTAAACCCGCCTTCTTCAGCGGCCTCTGCCGCGCTACCCCCTTTTCCTGGGCCAAAAAGAACGCGTCTCTCTCGAACCGAGGAAAACATTCGGAAAGGGCGGTGGGATTTCTCCATTCTGTGAGGATCGCCTCATGAACCACACGCCCGTCATCTCGACCGCGGTGCACCGGTTTCACGCGGTCGTCCAAACGTTCGACATGCAGTCCTTCGCGATCCCACGTGTCACTTTTCAGTGGCGTCTTGGCCGCGGAGCTTGCAATGTCATGCGCAAGCAAATACCTTTGCGGCCTGCTTATGGGTCTACCTTCAACGGTGCTCAAGGCGCCACCTTGGAAAGGTGCACCGTCGACGCCAGAGCGAACCCCTTTGCCCACGGCCACCTGTGCGTTGCTTTGGGCCGCGTCACGCGGCGTCGAGATCTCCGCGCGCCGAGCACGTCGGACCGTCTGTCCGATGAAGGCGACGCTCTCCTTCGGAATGTTGCGTGGAAAGAACTCTTGCTACCCGATCCCTCTGGCGCGCCGAAGCGCGTGCTCAAGAAGCCAGCGTCTGCGCGTTGACGCTGCATCTCCGCTGAGGCCTTCGAGAGCTACCGTTCCCGCTCCTTCTCACCCCAAATTTCTCAGCCGCCTGGCTCTTCACTTCTAATCCAGTCGCTCCCTCTCCTCAGTCCGTAGGAGATCTCCGCGCGCTGAGCACGTCGGACCGTCTGTCCGATGAAGGCGACGCTCTCATTCGGAATGTTGTGGGAAGAACTCTTGCTACCCGATGCCTCTGGCGCGCCGAAGCGCGTGCTCAAGAGGCCAGCGTCTGCGCGTTGACGCTGCATCTCCGCTGAGGCCTTCGAGAGTTACCGTTCCCGCTCCTTCTCACCCAAAATTTCTCAGCCGCCTGGCTCTTCACTCCTAATCCAGTCGCTCCCTTTCCGCAGTCCGTAGGAGATCTCCGCGTGCTGAGCACGTCGGACCGTCTGTCCGATGAAGGCGACGCTCTCCTTCGGAATGGTGCGTGGAAAGAACCCTTGCTACCCGATCCCTCTGGCGCGCCGAAGCGCGTGCTCAAGAAGCCAGCGTCTGCGCGTTGACGCTGCATCTCCGCTGAGGCCTTCGAGAACCACCGTTCCCGCTCCTTCTCAAACCCATATTTTCACAGCCGCCTGGCCCTTCACTTCTAATCCAGTCGCCCCCTTTCCTCAGTCCGTAGGTGCCGCGCTGTTGCGAACGCCAATGCGGGCGAGTTTCGGAAATGCTGTTGGGAACCGAGACCTCGCATCATGGAAAAGACATCATAGTTCTGGCAAGAACCGCGGTTCAGACACGTTCGGATGCCAAATATGAGATCTCCGCATCCCGTACTCTTCGAGAAAAGCCGTTGGGAACGAATTGCTTCTTCGCAGCATTTCGACGTTGCTCTTGGGGCGCGACGTTCTTCGATTGTCCTGAGCAGACTGCTCGGATCACCGGTCCCCCGCATTGAACCAGATCGGCCGCCAATTGCCATGCGCTCTAGGAACACTCTGTATATAACCACGTTTCGGGTTGCCTGTCCAGAATGCTGTTGGGAACCGAGGTTGTCCAGCAAACGACAGGGGCACTGTTTCTTCCCGCCCCTTCTCAAACCCATATCTTCTCACCCGCCTGACCCTTCACTTCTAATCCACTCGCTTCCTTTCCTCAGTTCGTAGGTACCGCGCTGTTGCGACCGCTACTGAAGGCCAGTTTCCACAAGCTGTTGGGAACAGAGGCTCTCGCACCATGGAAAACACAACATAGTTCTGACAGGAACCGCGGTTCAGCAACGTTCGGACGCCGACTAAGACATCTGGGGATCCCGCACTCTTCGAGGCTGGCCGTTGGGAACCAATTGCTTTTTCGACGTTGCTCTTGGGCCGCGACGTTTGTCGATTGTTCCCAGCAGGCTGCTCGGATCACCGGCCCCCCACATTGAACCAGAGCGAGCCGCCAATTGCCATGCCCTCTAGGAACACTCTTTAAATAACCACGTTTCGGGCTGCCTGTCCAGAGGTTTTCTCAACTACGTCAGAGGCGCTGTTTCTGTTCAGCCGCGGCCCCGGCAACTTTCGGGATGCGTTGGCGGGAACCCCAATATTTCGAATCGTTCCGGCGCTGTCCTTCTGCCCCGCGAGTTCCACGTATCCCGACTGCTACCTTGCTGCCCCCGTTTGGCTGGCTTCCGCGCCCGCGCTGCAAGAAAATGCTGTTGGGAACCGAGGTTCTCGCAATAGGGAAAATACAACATAGCTTTGATAAGAACCGCGGTTCAGCAACGTTCGGATGCCGAAGATAAAATCTAGGGATCCCGTAATCTTCGGGAGAGCCGTTGGGCCCATAGCTTTTTCGAAGGATTTCGACGCCGCTCTTGGGGCGCGACGTTCTTCGATTGTTCCAAGCAGACTGCTCGGATCACCAGTCGCCCACCTTGAACCGCAGCAAGCCGCCCATTCCCATGTACTCTAGGAACACTCTGTTCAGAACCACGTTGGGGGCTGCCTCTCGAGAGCGCTGTTGGGAACCGAGGTTTTCCACGTGTCAGGAGCACTATTTCTGTTCAGCCGCGGCCCTAGCAACTCTCAGAAAGCGCTGGCAGGAACCCCCTTATATCGAATCGTTTCGGAACTCTCCTTTTCTCCCGCGAGCCCCAGTTATCCCGCATTCTTTCTGGGCCCCCCCGTTTTACATGCTTCAGCGCTGCAGCCACTCCGTCTTTCGAGGCTCGCACCGACCAGCGGCGATTGCCCCCCGCCCGGCAGGCCGCGCTCGCTGAACGCCGCCACGCCGCCCCGCAGCAAGGCGAACGCCACCGTCGTCGACCCCCCCGCGATTCCAGCCGCGAAGCCGCAGACTCCCAACATGGCCCGCAGTGCAGGCGCGCTCCACACCGCGGATGTAGCTTTCGAAATGCTGGGCGTGAAGATCGCAGGAAAGACCGTCCACAACGCCGGCGTCCGTTTCACGCTCGCTGACGCTATGCGCCCCCAACCAGGTCAGCCTCGCACGTCGCCGCGCCACGCCCTCAGCACGGCGATGCGCCACCAACGCTTCCCGATATCCTTCTCCCACCTTCCCCGTAGCATGCAGCACGTGCGCCTGCGCGCGCCAACGTAAGAACCCCTCTTTGGGGCACCCCTCCGTTCTTATTCTTTTGCCTCCCCACCCAGGTCACCGAGCGCGCCAGGGCGGCGCTGTCCCTGCCCGATAAACCCCGCGGCGTCGAGTACCTCACGCACGGCCTTATCCCGCCGCAGGGGGACTCCAATCCTTACAAGGGTCGTTCTTGGACATTCGTCGTGGACGTGGTGGCCACCACGAACGCTGCGCAGGAGTCCGCTTTGACCCACGCGATGAAACTGGCGCAGGCCATTTTGGAGCAGGCGTACTTTCACGTGGACATCTCGGCGCCGGCATCCCCGACGGCGACGGCGTGGACTGCCGCCGCTTCCGCCCTCGTCAACCGGTTGAAGATTTCGCGGTCGGGCCCCCGCGCCGACGGGGGGGAGTGGGCCATGCAGGACTTAATCCGCTTCAGGCTGCGCATCGATCCAGCCATGCCAGTGGACGTCCGCAAGAACATTGACACCTTGGCCGCAGCCCAATCGGCGTACATGACGGTCGCGAACTTCGACTGGCAGACGCCGTCTTCGTCATCACCGACGCCGCCCTCGTCGTCAGCAACGCCCGCTGCAAGGAAGCGCCCTGCGGCGGCCGTGCCGGGCAGCGCTGTGTGCAAGCGCCCGGCGCGCTCCACGTGAGCCGCACTCGGCACTCGGCGCGCAGGCGCGCACGATGCCCGCGACATGGGTTTTTCAATCATTCCCGAGGAGCGCGTTCCGCGAGCGTTCCTGGGGCTGCGACATCCTATCCGTTGACTGCTCAGCGTTGCCATGCCAGGAACGACCGACGCTTACCGGCAGTGCAGACACGATGAGACATGCCCCGGCTCACGCCGACGCCCCAGACAAAAACTTAGCCGCGATCCAATATCGATTTGCCGCAACCCGAGCATGCCTCGAATCTTTCTCAGAACCCAGCGCGATTACTGTTGGGGGCCAAAACTTTCGCACAGTGGCGCGCACAGTAGAGCGCACAGGTTTTCGAAACGCACACGCGGTTGGAACCGCAATTCACCGAATGCGACAAGCGCTGTTGGGAACCGAGGCTTCCCAACCTTTGACTGAGATGTTGAAACAAACGATGTTCTCTCGAGCTTCTTCCCAAACTCCCATCCATTGCCCCCTCACCATCCGTCCCTTTCCCCTTCCCTTTCCCCTTCCCTCCTCCCTCCTTCTCCCCTCCCCTTGCTTCCGCTCCCTCCACCCGCATCGGGGGGACAATGCAAGTACTCCGTGTAAAACCCGTTGGAAGCCGATGCTTTCCCACAATTCTCCACGCCGCTGTTGGGCAACGAGATTATTTATACACTTCGGCTTCTTTACTCTTGGGCATACCGGTTTGCTTATTGTGGTTCACGCTGTTGGCACCCACGTTCTCGAAATGCACAGGCTGCAGAGAACCGCACTTCAGCAAAAAGGAAAAACGTTGCTGGGAACCGAGGTTTTCCTGTCTCGACCAGCGATGCTAAGACATAGCTCCTCTCTCAGGCTTATTCCTGAATCGCTTCCGCTGCTTCCTCCCCATCTGCCCCCTCCCCTTTCCCTTTTCCTCCTTTCCTCCTTTTCTCCCCCCTTGCTACTGCTCCCTCCGCCCGCACCTGAACGACCTCATTGGGGCTGCAGGTGGAAGCCGTTTGGGGCCAGTGCTTTTCCACCGCGTCCCTTCGTCGCTGTTGGGCAGCGAACTTCTCGATCAACATCGACCTCTTGCTTGGGCACACCAGCCCCCGTGCTGTGGTACGCGGTGTTGGGCACCCACGTTTTCGACTTGGAGATGAACGCACGTCTCGGAACCGGCCTTTGGGGGCCGCGTTTTCGGGCAGCTTTAGGAAAAATTGTTGGGAATTGAGGCCCTCGCAAAATTGATAGAGACTGACGGGGACACGATTCAGACATCTGTTCGGAAACGCCGTTGGGGACCAAGGCTTTCGCGATATTTGGGACATCAGGCTGTCGGGGACGGTTGGGTTTCAGCGCACATCCCTGCGAAAACTCCGTTGGGAATCGCGGCCGCACGAGCATTTGGAAAAAGCAGCGTGGCGAACTCAGCGCAGGACCCAGGAGCTCACTGAGACCCCCATTCTTGACGCTTCGCAAATCCCCACAAGCCCATCCAGAAACGACGCCCAGGCGAGTTGAGCTGTCTAGGGAAGTGTGGGGCGCTCTTGAAGCCCTCTTGGGCCCTCTTGGGGTCATCTTGAGGCCTCGGATGGCCATCGAAAGCGAAAACACGAAAAAGTAACAATCATTTGTTTTCTTTAGATGTTCGAAGCTTTTGCGATATTGGAGGCCTCCTCGGGCAGCTATTAGGTAGGCCATCTTGGAGCCGTCTTGGGGCAGTCTGGGGGCCCCTTGGAGCATCTCTGGAGCCATCCTCACGCATCTTAGGCTGTCTTCAGCCGTCTTGGAGACCATCTTGGGCTCCCCGAGGCGCTCTTGGAGCAATCTTGACCATCTTGGACGCTCTGATGACCGCTCGCGGAGCGCCCCGTCCAGGTCCGGGGGGGGAGGTAAGGGGAGGGGCACACCCCTCCTCGAAGGGGAAGAAGGGAGGTGGAAGAGAAAACTCCCAACACCACCTGCATCTAAAGGGCTGGTGGGATTGAGTGCAGCGTTCGAATGGCAGCACTGGTCCAGATCCTCTCCGAATGCGACCATTCCCCGGCCCCCTCCCACCCCGACCCCGTCATCTTCCCATTCCCACCCTCCCTTTGAATCCTTTCTCCCTGTCACCGCCCCGTCCTCCCACACTTGCAGAACGCGATTGTGATTCCTGTCCTGCTACGTTCGGGCAATCGATGTCAAACCTCCAAGGAAAAATCTCCGATCCCAGAAAGCACGGAACCCGCGCCACAGCTGCCCGCGTAACGGCGTGCGAGCACCCGCGTGAGGTCAGGCAGTGCGGCCCCCCCCATCGGGATACGCGACTCTACGGGCCCTTCCGTTTACAGACGCGCGGCCGCCCGGCTGCGCCAACTGCCACAGGGCGAGGGGGTCCGCAGCCGTCTCAGCTGAGACGCGGCTCAAAATCCGAGCCCCGAGCCCCCGCCCCAAAATCGCTCGCGGCCACGCCGGCCTTTCCTGCAAGATTCGTCAATCATCGCTTCGCTCCTTCCGCCGGCCCGTTTCGCATCGCCGCGTTTCTTTCGGGTCCTCGTTTTTTTTTTGGGGGGGGGGGGCCTCTTGGAGCTTGGGGGGGGCTCTTTGGTGACACTCTTTGAGAGCCTCTGTGAAACCTCTTGAGGGCATCTTGGAGCTTTTTCTGGCATTTTGAAACCCTCCTGGACCCTTTGGGGGGCATCTTGAGGCCGAAGCTCGAAATGTCCGTGTGAATGCTCTGTTTCGGCTATCTGTTTGAGCTGTTTTGGGTGCTTCCTGTGCCGTTGTGGGGCCCCTTGGGACTGACTTCGAAGCCCTCTTGAACCGTTTACGCGCCCTCTTCAAGACCTCTTGGGCCATGTTGGGGCGGCACTGGCGGCCTACGGGCCGTTCCTGGCGTTCACGGGCGCTCCCCGGGGCCGCGCCCAAGAATTCCGGCATCTAGCACGAAAGCAACCCTGGGACCTGCCCGGGGTAATTGTCGCCCAGGAACCCCGAGAGCCGCCCAGCGCGCGCGAACGAGAAATTGTCTTGAATAGGTGCCGGAAATCTTCCCACGCCTCTGGCCCGTTGGGCCGGCGAATTTTCATGTGTCATTTGGTGCGGAAAAAGGATCGTGCTTATTGGCGTGTTTGTTGGCTCTTCTCACGCTGACAAGCGTCCAGAGCTGCCCATCTCTGAAGCTATGTATGGCCCCGCATATGCCCGAGAATGGGCAAATCAGTTGCGTGAGTATTGTACCAGTGAACGCCCCAGCAAAGATGCTGCAATCAAGCGCTTGGACAAATTGAAGCTTCAATTGCAAAAACAAAAGGATGCTGGCATCAACAAAATGGACCCTGGAACTCGTGCAACACAGTCCGCGCTGCAGTCTGGCCTGCATCCGCCAGTACAACGCGTGCTTATGCATGCGGTTGTTGATCATTTACGGCCTGAGGGGCCAGTGACATACCGAATTCGCCATCGTGCTGACTGTCGTCAATTGTTTGAAGTTGTGGATGGTATGCTGCGCAAGGGCATGGACACAGTGCAATGGATTTTGTGGATTTTGTACCTTCATTTGATCTCGCGCAAAAAGCCGCTTCAGACTGCGACGAAAAATGCCCCAGCTGTGTGAACTAAGGCTGCGGTGCGAAAAAACGCTGTTAGAGGTCAAACGGAAGTGCGCGATTGGCGAAACTTTGTGGGACACGAGGCGCCCGACAGGGGGCGTTCAGAAAGCACTGGAAGTCCTTGAAGGGCATTCAGAGTTGAAGAGTTTCGCTGAACATGTAGCGTCATTGCAGTGGGCCGATTGGAGACCACATCGTCTGGACACCTCTTTGTCGGCCACTCTGCCATTGTTGGGCTACGATGGGTATCGCCGTGGAAAAAACATTGCGATTCCTGAGTGACGCAGCGCGCCACATTTCTGGTCAACTGGTTGCGCGGCAGCGGCAAGATTGGGAAGTTCTCGTGCGCATGTTGCCAAGCACCGCAGAAGTGGCCAATGAGTTCGATTTGGCTACATTCGACAAAGCAAATGCAGGTTGTGAATACGTGGGCGCCATGCTCGCGGCTCTCTGCCCCAAAGCACAATGGCCTCCTATGTCGTTATCAGACCTTTCATGCGGCCTGTGCTTGGAACACCAAACCGATGCGCCGCATAAAGATGATGATAGGTACATGCCGGCAGCCAAGAAGCGACGGAAGCGCAAGTGGTTCTTTGGTGAACTCCCTTCCGACGCCGGCTACAGTATGATGTGCGATTGAATTGTCCGCTTTCTTTGGTCAAGAACGCTGCTCCGACAACTACTTCGCCATGTTATACTGCTGAACGCTGCGGCGTTCCCCAGCAACCCCGCTACAGAGCGCGCCCCAGCGCGATGCAGGTGCCCCGGTGCAGGAGGAGGGGGGGGAAGGGGAGGAAAAGAAGGAGGAAGAAAGGAAAAGGGAAAGGAGGAAGAGGAGATAACGGAAAGTAGTCTGATCCGCTTCGCCAAAGATATACTCGCAACTCCGACCTCGGAAGCGCCTTGCTTCGCATCGGTGCCGCCGTTTTCGCTTGAGACATCATCGCACCTCTGGGGCCCGAGACACTCTCAGTTGATGTGTTCCAGCCACTGTCGCCTGAGACACTCTCGCACGTCTCACTTCGGAGGTGCCTTGCACCATGGTGGTTCGGCCACTTTCGCGTGCGACTTCTCGCAAGTCTAAGTTCAGGGATGCCCTGAGCAGAGGTGTTCAGACCACTCCTCGCTTGAAACTTCCTCGCCTGGCTGACTTCGGATATGCCCTCCCATGAGCGGAGGTGTTCAGGCCATTTTCACCCGGGACGTCCTCGCAACACTGACCTCGGCGACGCACTGTCCCATGGTAGTCTGACCACGTTTGCCTGAGACCCTCGCGCGTTTTAGTGGCGCGTTGATATGCGCAACTGCTCAGGCCGCACACATAGTTACACTGACCATTTGCATATACATGTACATATCCATACAAACGCATCTATAATGTACATATGTACTATGCATTCATAGACGCATGTGTGTGCGCATGTACGC